TTTTTTTTTAGAATCGTGTATGAAATAAAACTAGTAAAATCTATTGTTAATGATTTTTGTGTGATCTATTATTACAAAACTTAAACTTTTAGAACCCTTTAGTAGATCAAATGCATTATATTTTAAGACTTTATACTGAATTAAAATTTTTATGGAAACTTAGATGTGATGTCTACCTTTTCTTGGTCCTTGTATTAATTAGTTAATAATCGAAGCAGAAAATTGTCAGATGCGTTTTAGTCAACAAGAAGTTGTAAATACTAAATGTCAATGGTTTATGTGAATCTTTTAACAGAAATGTTAATTCATGTTGCGCCATTATGCTGCTTATCGAATTTTTTATTGTAAAATCCATATACTTCGTTTGAGCTATTCTTTAATATTCTGCAGATTTGCCAGTTTTTACACAAATTTGGTTGTATAAGAGTTTTGATGGATTAATAATTGTAGATATAACTATATTTTATAAGGTTTTTATTTTATCAAAAAACAATCCCTTGTTGGTTTGTTCATGAAAAAAAAGACTTGTAACTTGATCACAATTTGTACTCATCTTATTATTATCACTTTAACGTAGATTAATTCTTTCTATCAGTCCAGTGTTAGTGTTGTAAAACTTTATCTACTGAAATTTTAACTGATGCTTTTATAAATCTACAAAAAAAAAAGAAACATTTAATTAATTTCAAAACAATGAAAATTAAGAATTTAAATTTAAAAAATTTAATGAAATAAAAGAAAGTTGACATTAACTTTTTCCCTCTATCAAATTATGTTAATGAAGAAATAAACATAGCAATCAAAAAAAATTTTACTAATTTTTAAAAAAGCCCTGCGTGGGTGTCGAACCCACGGCCTTAGCGTTAAAAGCGCCACGCTCTACCACTGAGCTAGCAGGGCTTGATTAATTCTTTAGAATTATGGTATTTATTTTTTTACAATTCTTCGAAAAAGCAAAAACCTCCAATTTAGGTACTAATTTAAAGATTGTCTTATAATGACATACTTCTTTATCGAAAAAAATTTAATTCAGACTAATTTATCACTCATTAATTATTATTTATTATTAAACATTATTTATATTTCAAGAAATGTTTTATTTTTTTTTACTAAAAATAATCCTGAATCTAATTGTATTTTTTTTTGGTTCAATTAAAAAAAAAAAAAAAAATACCGCTATAAACTTTTTAATAAATTTTCATTGTTTTAAAGATTCTTTTTTTAAGTGATTTTTTCCTTTGTATGTAAAACCTTTCAAGAACAAAAAATAAAATTCATATTTATATATTTTTTTATTTTCATTTTACCTGCAAAAGCAATTCTCTTTCTCATTTCTAAAACTTTTTGTTCCTCTTCACTAATACTTTCTTCATTATTACTATATTCTAAATTTAAAAAGAATAAAAAAAAGCATTGGACAAAGTTAATCTTCATACCCATTTCCGCAAAAACATCTTTTTCATTCATTTCATCGAAGTGACTGGAATCAAGTTCACTTTTTAATATTGGCTTATACAAAGGATTTGCTTCTAATTTTTCAAAATCTATATTTCTAAACCAGGGATGAGATTTAATATCAGTAGCGTCTCCTTCCTGTGATAGTTTTTCTTCGCCTTCATTTACTATTATTATTTTTCCTTGTCCTAGTCTATTTTCCTTATTACAGAGTAGCCATCTAATCAAGTCTCTAGCATTTTCACTCACATTGGAATGTGGCGGAAATCGCAAAGTTCTTTCCCAATTTAAAATTTTTAACTTAGTTTGTTCTCGATTTTTACTACAAAATGGTGGAAATCCAAAAAGCATTTCGTAAAGAATAACTCCAAGTGACCACCAGTCGCATCCTTGTTTTAAAATAAAGTAAGAAGTAAAAAATTTTTTTTTAATTTAAGGAACCTTTGTCATAACCGTCTTCCAGCAACACTTCAGGTGCCATATAGTTATTTGTTCCAACAACTATATAAGTCAAACCAATTAATTAGCAAGTGTTTAATGTTACCTGAATATGACATCTTTTTTCTATGGTTGTCCCTCCAACAAAGTATTTGCTCATAAGGATTTTCCAAATCAAAAGGTTCGTTTTTATTTAATATATCCATTGATAAAGTCCCATTAACGTTTTCCAAATCTGTTGATTTTTGTACCCCTAAAAGTGTCACACGCCTCTGCTCTTTGTAGTAATCAGAATTATGAACAAATTTGTGATCAGTTGCTAAACCAAAATCTGACAGTTTCAAATTGCCTTCCTTCCCAAATAAAAAATTGTCTGGTTTTATATCTCTGTGAATAATCCCTAATTTACTATTTTTATTTTTCGTTTTAGTGTTTTTTTCTTTAATTTTAGTACTGAGTTTCTTCAATTGCTAAAATCATTTGAGCACAATAAAACTTGGCAAACTCCTCTTCAAAAATATCCTTTTTTATTAACAAACTTAACAAATCACCTGATGAAAAAAAAAAATTAAAAAAAACTGATTTAAAATCACCTCCAGGTAGATATTCCATTACCAAATACAGATAATCTTTATCTTGAAAAGTATATATCAACCTTACAATCCAATTAGCAATTTCCGATGCCTCACTTAATAAATCTCTTTCAGCTTTTTTTTTTTGTAAATAAAAATTAAGATATAATCTATCACATCAAACATACCTCTAACATGAGCTTCTTGATTTGTCATTAACATCGTATCTTTTTTTATTATTTTCATTGCATAGACTTCACCAGAATTCTTTTCTCTAACAATTCTAACTACTCCAAAAGCACCATGTCCAATTACCTTTAATAAATCAAAATCACTCAATGTTATTTTTTCTCTTAAGTTTTTTAAATTTTCATGTTCTTTTAAATTAAATAACTCTTTGATAGTTTTTTTTTCTTCAAATGGTATATCAATTTTTTTTAATTCCTCTTCTAATTGCTGCTTCCTCTTTGATCTTCCGAGTGGACCTTTATTGTTTTCAGAATCAAAATATCGTTCAAAATATATCTTAGTTTGTACAGATCGCTATCAAAAAGAAAATAAAAATAAAAAAGGGTTTATTCATTTTTTATTTGAGATAATGCTTTAAAAATTACCTCTACTGTTGCTAAACTAACTTTTTTTGGTGGTAGTTTTGGTGGTAAAGAGCTTTTAATTTCTGGAATAGCATCCACAGATGTTAAAAATTCTATTGCTTCTTGTTCAGTTTTGGCATTTATCTTATGACTTTTAATATTTTAAATAGTTATTAAACAATTTATTTTTTATCTTCTTAAAAAAAGTTAGTACTTAAAGTTTTTTGGACCAGATATCATTTCTTTAGAAAAAGTTTTTTTAATAGGTGAAGTCATTATTTTTATCTTTTTAATTAAAGTTGGAAGTATATTAAAATTTTTTTTTACTGAGTTGAGTTTTTGTAAGTATAATAAAATTTACTCTTTAACCAATCAAAAATAGTAAAATATTTTTATGATACACTTTTAGCTTTGGTTCGCAGCAAAAAGTATGTTTTAAAAGTGAACCTTACGACCAATGCTAGATAAATAGAATTGAAATTTGTAAAGAAAATAGTTACTCTTTATGTTTCTTGCTGATTTGCAAGTTGCACCTTTTTACTTTAAAACAGCAAATATCACTGTTTTTAGTTTTAGATAACTCTTTTTACAATTCAATATAAATTGTTTTGCATATCACAAAAGTTTTTTTCGGAAGTAATGAGTTTATAAAACTAAACTTTTGATTTATTCATTTTTTCTATTTTAATTTTTTTCAATCATCATAGTTACTGTCTATAACATTTCTTTTATTCAATTTCATAAATATTACTAATATAGCTATCAAATTCCTTAATTTAAAAGAATTTTTTTGTATGTTCAAAACAAACTCCCAAAAAAAAATTCTTCCTAGTAAAAAAAACTAAAATGAAACCAAAATTTACTATCGAGAAGGCCAAGACAGACAGATCTAAATGCAAGGTTAACAAAAAGCAAACTATTAAAAAACCCTTTTACTTATCTACTTTAATTTCTATTTAATTTTTTAAAGGTTTGCAATGGTAGTATAAAGAAAGAAGAAATCCGATTTGGTTGGAACATATTAGTCTTATCGCTTGCAACTAAAAAAATTAAAAATTTTAAGGATCCCAAGTAGTAGTAGCAAAGTCAAAATCTGGAGGTGAGGATCATACAGGTTACCTTTGGAAACATGTTTATGAAATTTCTAAAAGAGAATGTGCAAAAATTTTATATCTCTACAACTCCTTTCAATTGATTCCAGGGATGGAAAAACTTTCCGTAAAAGAAAAGGATGAGTAAGAATTAAATTCATTACTTTTAAAACAACATCCTTTTGCTCAAAGAATTGCTGAAATTTTAGGGAACATACGAAGTGGCGAACCTTTGACTTCTGCTAATCACAAGCCTTTACCAGAGAATACGGCATATATAATTGAGAAGGCAAAATCTGGAAGAGCTAGTTGTGGTGTTAGTATTTATTAAATCTCAAAGAACTTTCTTATTTTTTGGAAAATTTTTAGGAATGTAAACAAAAAATTGAAAAAGGAACTCTTAGATTTGGGGCAACTGGTGGTAAACTTCAAAAATTATTTGAATACATTAGATTTTATGTTATATATATTAAAAAAATAATACAAATTACTTTAAAGGCAAATTGAATAGCACACTATGGAGACATTTAAAAGAAGTTACCAAGAAGCAAATGCAGAATGCCAAATGGTTATATGGTGAATTACATCATATACCTGGATTATCAACTTTTCCTGAAAAAGAAAGGATGTCGTAAAAAAAAAAAAAATTTTAAAAAATTTTTAGGCCCAGTTCTTTTTTAAACAAAAATTTTTTTTTGTAGTCTTGTAAGTGATATCACTGAGATATTATTGAGCGAATCACCAAAAAAAAAATCAAAATTAAAAGTTGATGCAATTTCTGCAAAGCATGATGATGATACTGAAATATTGGAGGACATGGATGAAAATCAAGTGGTTGCAGAAAATAAGTTGCAAACTGGAGATTGACTTGTAATGTATTAAAAAAAATTTTCTTTATTTTTGTTTGTTTTTGTTTTCTCATTATTTTTTCATCATAAATTTTTTTTTGAAAAAAATTTCATATTTGTGATTAAACATTTTCTTTCAACACATTTCAATAAATAATTAAACATCCAAAATTCATAATTTTTGAGGAACAGAAGTTAAAATTAAGGAAATTAAATTATATAACATTTTATTATTACTCAATAAACTAAAATAATATATTTTATTCCTTAACTTTCTTGGTACCTCTAAGTAAACCAGTTCTTCTAGCAGCAATGAGACCAACTTTTTGACCAGGAGGGGCATCTCTAGCAACAGTAGAGGCGTGACCAATGTGTTGATGGTTACCACCTCCGTGAGGATGGTCTACTGGGTTCATCGCAACACCTCTAGTTCTAGGCCATGAATTTCGTTTAACACGATACTTATGATAAGCTCTACCAGCTTTCAATAATGGTTTATCAACAATACCACCGGAGGCAACAATTCCAATGGTGGCACGACAATCTGAATTAATAACTTTTTTAGCTCCAGAACCCATCTTTAGTCTAGTTTTTCCTTCATCTGGATTGTGACCAATAATGGTGGCATAAGTACCAGCAGCTCTAGCTAATGAACCTCTGTCCCCAACTCTTTCTTCTACATTACAAATAATTGTACCTTCAGGCATGGAACCAACATTTAAAGTATTTCCAACATTTAAAGCGGCTGTTAAAAATGTTAAAAATACTTCTATTTAATAAAACATACCTTTTTTTCCACAGTATATAAATTGACCAGTAAATAACCCTTCAGTAGCAATGAAAAGTTCTTCTCTTTGCTTATATTTATAGACATCTCTAAAGACTACTTTAGCAAGTGGAGCA